AAGGGTCCAGACCCGAAGCGTCAGCCTTCCTGCTCCTCTGATGCTGCTTGGCCTGCTGTGTTCATCCAGCTCTACACCTGGTTATCTCAGAGTCTCCAGCATCTGCAGTTCCTACTATCTCTGAAACAATATTGACAAGGTCAGTGTCTTTCATTGCATTGTCCGTGATGACTGGGCACTTGGTTGCATTAGGGCAAGTTGTTGCCTGTGGCCCAGGGGGCTGGGTTTGATTATACTGAGTGCAAACCAGTCACAGACCAGCTCCAGCTCACACGCGGAGGGCAGAGACAAAGAGAAAAGGAGCTCACGTATTTGCAATACTGTCGATCTCTGTTTTCAGTTCTTGGATCATCTGTGTGGTGCGTTGATGTTCCTTCTGGGTACGCTCCCACTGCTGGTTAAAAGCTTCAAATTTACCATCAAACTGGGTCAGCATCTTCAGCTTGGCTCGTTGTTGAGCGGTTTTACTTTGATACTTGCCAACCACGTTATCGAGACTTTCCCTGTGTATAAACACCGGTTCATAGATTGTTATTCTCGAGGATGGTTTTGCAGCTCTTTAGACAGCACCTTCCAAACCCACAACCTCTTCCATCTAGAAGGACAACGGGAGCAGGTACGTGGGAACACCTCCTCCTGCAATTTCCCCTCCAAACCACTCACCATCCTGACTTGGAAATATATCACCACTCCTTTACAGTCACTGGGTCAGAATTCTGGAATTCCCTCCCTAACAGCACTGTATATGTCCTACACGAAATGGACTGCTGTGATTTAAGAAAGCAGCTCACCACCACCTTCCCAAGGTCAGGCAATAAAAAATGCTGGCCCAGTCAGAGATGTCCATGTCCCATGAATGAACAAAAAGGACACAACAACAATAAAACAAAAGACCAAGGATGCTGGAAATCAGAAACAGAAACAGAAGTTGCTGGAAAAACACAGCAGGCCTGGCAGCATCTGTGGAGAAAAAGCAAGGTGAACATTTTGGGTCGAGAAAGCCTTCTTCAGAAGTAGCTAGGTAAAGGTTGGTACATATGCTAAAGAAGGGGTGGGGGGGAAGGGGAAGGAGTAAACGATATGTGGAAATGGAGCCCAGAGAGAGAAAAACAACAGTTGGGCAGATAAAAGAATGGGTAAAGGGTCGGCCTGGGAGAATCTCTAGCTGCTAATGGGGGCCATTAATAGCTGACAATGGATTGTTTGTGGTAGCAGCCCACATGAAGATGAGGCCTGGTGTGTGGGGTAGGGTAAGGACATGGGGAGAAGGTGCTTAGGCCCTGAGAAGAATACAAGCCACCCTCATATACACTCACTGCACAGGCCTCCCTCGCACTCTGATACAGTCATACAGTCATACAGCATGGAAACAGACCCTTCAGTCCAACTAGTCTACGCTGCCCATGTTCCCAAACTAAACTAGCCCTATTTGCCTGCATTTAGCTCATATCCCTCCAAACCTTCCTATTCATGAACTTATCCAAATGTCTTTTAAATGTTGTAACTGTGTCTGCAACTGCACTTCCTCTGGAAGTTCATTCCACAAATGATCCATTCTGTGTAAAAAAAATTGCCCGTCATGTCCTTTTCTAAATCTTTTTCCTCTCACCTTAAAAACATGCCCCCTAGTTTTGAATTCCCCACCCTAGGGAAAAGATCCTTGCTATTCACTTTATCTATGCCCCTCATCATTTTATAAACCTCTCTATGGTCACCCTCCTATACTCTGATGAAAGAAGTCCCAACCTATCCAGCCTATTGTTATAACTCAAACCCTCCATTCCCAGCAATATCCTGGTATATATTTTCTAAACCTTTCCAAGTTTAATAATATCTTTCCTATAACAGAGCAACCAAAACTGCACACAGTATTCCAGAAGAAGCCTCACCAACGTCCTGTAAAACCTAAACATGACATTCCAACTCGTATACTCAAAGTTCTGAGCAATGAAGGCAAGCTTGCTAAATGCCTTGTTAACCATCCTGTGATGCAAATTTCAAAGAGTTATGTTCCTGAACCCCTAGGTCTCTCTGTTCTAAGACACTACCAAGGCTCTTACCATTTAATCTATAAGACCTGCCCTTGTTTGTTTTACCAAAAATGCAATACCTCACATTTATCCAAATTAAACTCCATCTGCCACTCCTCAGTCCATTGACCCAATTGATCAATATCTCTTTGCAATCTTAGATAACCTTCTTCATTCTCCTCTATACCACAAATTTTAATGTCATCCTCAAAATTACTAACCGTGCCTCCTATATTCTCATCCAAATCATTTATATAAATGACAAACAAAAGAGGACCCAGTACCTATTTCTGTGGAACATCGCTGGTCACAGGCCTCTAGTCCAAAAAGCAGCCCTCCACTACCACCCTCTGTCTCCTACCATTAAGCTGATTTTGTATCCAATTGGTAAGCTCTTCCTGAATCCCATGTGATCTAACTTTACCAATTAGACGACCGTGTGGAACCTTGTCAAAGGCTTTAACTAGAATCCAAGTAAACAATGTCTTCCGTACTGTCCTCATCAATCTTTTTGGTTACTTCCTTAAAAAAACTCAATCTTGTTTGTGAGACACAAATTCCCTCACACAAAACCATGATGACTATCCCTAATCAATCATTGCCTTTCCAAATGCATGTAAATCCTGTCTCTCAGAATCATCTCCAGCAACTGACCCATCATTAATGTCAGGCTCACAGGTGTGTAGTTCCCAGGCTTCTCCCTACGTCCTTTCATAAATAAAGGCACAACATTAACCCACCCTCCAATCCTCTGGCACCTCACCTGTGGTTATGGATGATACATATATTTCTGCTAGGGGCCCTGCAATTTCTTCCCTAACTTCTGATGATGTCCTGGGCTAGAGTTACCGGAGATTTATCCACCTTTATGTTTTCTAAGACCTCCAGCACTTCCTCTTCTGTTATGTGAACTGTTTTCAAAACATCAATATTTATTTCTGAGTTCTCTAGCCTCTATTTCTTTCTCCGCAGTAAAACCTGATGCAAAATCTTCATTTAGTATCTCTCCCATCACCTGAGGTTCACACATAGATGACTTTGTTGATGTTTAAGGGGCTCAATTCTCTCTCTAGTTGCTCTTTTGCTCCTAATATACTTGTAGAATTTCTTTGGATTATTTGACATAGAATCCCTACATACAGTGTGGAAGCAGGCCTTTCGCCCCAACGAGTCCACACTGGCCCTCTGAACAGCATCCCACCCTAACCCATACCCCTATCCCTATCCCATAACCCCGCATTTCTGATAGCTAATTGACCTAGCTTGCACTCCCTGGACACACTATGACCAATTTAGCATGGCCAATCCACCTACCCTGCACATCTTTGGACTGTGGGAGGAAACCCACACAGACACTGGGAGAATGTGCAAACTCCACACAGACAGTTATTTGAGGGTGGAATTGAACCTGAGTACCTGACGCTGTGAGGCAGCAATGCTAACCACTGAGCCACTGTGCTACCCTGTCCTTAACTTTATCTGCCAAGGCTATCTCATATCCCCTCTTTGCCTTTCTGATTTCTAACACTCTTTATACTCTTCAAGAGATTCATCTGATCTCAGTTGTCTATACCTAAGATATGATTCTTTCTTATTTTTGACTAGAACTACCAGCCTTACCCTTCACTCTAATAGGAACATAATGCCTCTGAATTCTCGTTATCACACTTTTGAAAGCCTCCTACTTTTCAGTCATCCCTTTACCTGCAAATAGTGTATTCCAATTGACTTTTGAAAGTTCTTGTCACACACCATTAAAATTTACTTTACTCCAATTAAGAAGTTTAACTCTTATGGAAGGTTTATCCTTTTCCACAACTATTTTAAAACTTATAGAATTATGATCACTAGTCCCAAAATGTTCCCAACTAACACTTTAGTCACTTGCCCTCCCTTATTTCCCAAGTAAAGGTTAGGTTTTCCTCCTTCTCCAGTAGGAACATTTACATAGCATCCATAGAATCCCTACAGTGTGGGAACAGGCCAGCCCAACAAGTCCACACTGACTCTCCAAAAAGTAACCCACCCAGATTCAACACCTTCCCCCCCCATCTCTGTAACCCTACATTTCCCATGGCTAATCCATCTATGGGCAATTTGGTATGGCCAATCCATCTAATTTGGAAACTGGAGCACCCAGAGGAAATCCATGCAGACACAGGGAGAATGTGCAAACTCCACACAGACAGCCATCCAAGCCTGGATTTGAACCTGGGTCCCTGGTCCTGTGAGGCAGCAGTGCTAACCACTGAGCCACCATGCTGCCCCTAAAAATTGATAAAGAACATTTTCTTGAACACATCTAACAAATTTCTCACCATCCAAACCTTTAACACTATGGCAGTCCCAGTCAATGTTTGGAAAATTAAAATCCCATACTCTTACAACCTTATTACTCTTACATATATCTGAGATCTCTCAACATACTTGCTCCTTAATTTCCCTCTGACTACTGGGGGGCCTATAGTACAATCCCATCAAGGTTATCATCCCTTTCTTATTTCTAATTTCAACCCAAATAGTTTCACTGGATGATCCCTCAGAAATATCCTCTCTAATTACAGCAGTAATGTTTAATCAAAAATGCCATAACCCTCCTCTCTTGTCTCCCTTTCTTTCCTTCCTGTAGCATCTAAAACCTGGAACATTGAGCTGTCAGTCCTGTCCTCCCCTCAGCCAAGTTTCTGTAATAGCTAGGACATACCACTCCCATGTTCCCATATATGCCCTGAGTTCATCAGCCTTACCTGTAAGACCCCTTGCATTGAAATAAATGCAGTTTAAATCTTCAGAGTTACCTTGTTCTGACTCACACTTGTCTGCCTTTTCTAATTAACTTGTTGTTTTCTGATTCAGAATCATCCTCATGTGTTTTTCTATTTTTACTGTTATTTAGGAACTCCCTTCCTCCCCTCTCTACTAGTTTAACGACTCCTGAAATAGAACTAGCAAATCTCCCTGCCAGGATATTGGTTGCTTTCCATTTCAGGTGAAACCCATCCTGTCTGAACAGATCTTTTCTACCCCAACCTGTATCTGAGCACACACCTCTCTTACACTCTCAAACCAGGCCTCACTCACTCTCAATACAAGCCTCACTCACTCTCAACACGGTCCTTCCTGATAGTTACCAAGTACAGGTCTTTCCTCACTCAATAACTCTACATTTAGTAATGTAGGGATGACACTAGTTTCTAAGCATGCCACAGGTTTATTTGCGAGAGTTCTGTAACACATTGGCAATGACAAAATGTCTGCACCATCCTTATCATGGTTCAACCCCTAAACAGGTGGCATGGTGGTTAGCACTGCTGCCTCACAGCGCCAGGGACCCAGGTTCAATTCCACCCTCGGGCGACTGCCGGTGTGGAGTTTGCACGTTCTCCCCGTGTCTGTGTGGGTTTCCTCCGGGTGCTCTGGTTTCCTCCCACAGTCCAAAGATGTGCAGGCTAGGTGGATTGGCCATGCTAAGTTGCCCATAGTGTCCGTGGATGTGTAGATTAGGTGGGTTATAGGGGGATGGGTCTGGGTGGGATGCGCTGAGGGTCGGTATGGAGTTGTTGGGCCGAAGGGCCTGTTTCCTCAATGTAGGGATTCTATAAAATTCTGTGGTGTTCATTTACTTTGCTTCAAAAATCCACACCCAGGCTTAATCAATCAAGCATAACGAATGTCAATCAGTTATCAGGTTCACATAATCCAACACAGAAAAATTAACCCATTGAACACTCTGAGACCTACCTCACACTCTCCAGCAAAACTGGGGAGATGCTTGGCTCTTTGTCCCTAAGACTCGATGAGGTGCCGGGTAAGTTACTTTTCTCCTTGATTTCATTTAACTGTGATGTAAGCATGTGTCTCAAGTCACTCATTGAGCGTGCAATCTGTTCCAGAATCTGTAACTGGGGGTTGCCTGCACTGGATGGCCTTTCTGCTTTCTTCTCAGAAGTAGCAGCAAGCCCATCCTTTGATTCTTTTCTCATGTTGTCACGCCACTGTGTGCTATCCTTCATCATCTTCTGGCAGAGGTTCTTCTGGAGCGAGAGAGTGGCTATGTTACTGTCACCAATACTGTTAGTACTGTGTGACCCGAAAGAACATTGAACACACCTCTCATGGTGTCATAAAAGAAAGGATCAGGAGTGGACCATTTGGCTCCTTCGAGTCTGCTCCACCATTCAGTTTGGTCATGGCTGATCTGATTGTGCCCTTAACTTCCCTTTCCTGTCTGCCCTACACTCCCCCCTAATAACCCTCGACTCCCGGCTGGTCCAGAAATCTGTCAAACCCAGCCTCGGATCTATTTGTTGATTGAGCCTTTGCTGCTTCGAGCAGCCTCTCAAGAGAAGAAGTTCTGCCTCACCTCCATCTTAATTATGAGACCCCTAATTTTAAACCCTCAAACCTCCACCCTCCACCCCAGGATTAGAAAGTCATGGCATCTTAGCTGAGCTCAATTTGGCTGTGGTTCCAGACTCCAGGCTTTAGAAATCTTCGAACCCTACAGTGTAGAAGGGGGACATTCAGCCCAAAAAGTTCTTCAGGAGCAAAACTGTAGCTATGTTACTGTCACCAGTACTGTTAGTACTGTGTCCACAATCCAGAGATGTGCAGGTTAGGTGGATTGGCCATGCTAAACTGGCCGAAGTGTCCAGGGGTGTGTAAATTAGGTGGATTAGACATGGGAAATGCCGGATACAGGGAAAGGGTAGGGGAATAGGTCTGGGTGGGACGCTTTTTGAAGGGGCAGTGTGGACCTGTTGGGCTGAATGGCCTGTTTCCACACTGTAGGGATTCTATATAAAAAAAAAGTCTGCACCAGCCTTCCAAAGACCATCCCACCCAGAACCAGCCCCCAACCTTTTCCTGTAACCCCACATTTACCATGGCTAACCCAGCTAACCTGCACATCCCTGGAAACTACAGACAATTTACCATGGCCAATCCACCTAACCTGCACATCGTTCAACAGTTGGATGGCCATCAGAGGGAACCATGCTGATATTTCCCTCTCTTCCACAAACTCCTCACAACCATTTTCAGTATTCCAATGGTCACATTCGGTGACAAAGTCTAGACTATTGAGGCCTTAGAGAGGCTGGCCAAGTGTTAATGGTCCCAGTGCACCCAATAGAAGTAATATTACTGCTAATGGACATGGTGGCTCAGTGGTTAGCGCTGCTGCCTCAAAACACCAGGGACCCGAGTTCAATCCCAGCCTTAGGTGACTGTGCAGAGTTTGCAAATTCTCCCTGGGTATAAGTGGGTTTCCTCCCACAGTCCAAAGATGTGCAGGGTGGATTGGCTATACTAAATTGCCTATAGTGTCCAGGGTGGGTCTGGGTGGGATGCTCTTAGGTGGGTTGGTGTGGACTCGATGGGCTGAATGGCCCACTTCCACACTCTAGGGATTCTATGATATGTAAATACTGCGGGGCATAGGTTCAATTCACACCACAACATCTAGTGGCAATTAAATGCCGTGGATTAGTTCTAAAATCTGGAATTGAAAATTAGGTTCAGTCACGGTGACCACAAAAGTACCAGAGATTGTTATAAAGATCCATTGGATTCACAAACAACCTTTAGCAAAGGAAATCCTTGTGAGACACAGGCCACCGGGATAACATCTATTTGTGGTGTGGAAAACAGGGCACTGATACGCGAGGGTTGTCATTCATTGCCAACATTGGCAAACCTTCCTGTTTCACCCTAATTTTCATTTTTTGCATGGCTCAGTGGGCCTAGTCACTGATGCTGTTTGTCAGATGTTCAATTCTAACTCTAGAGACTTGAACACAAAACCTCAGTGGTACCAACAAAGAGGGAGTGCTGCACTGTCAGAGGTGCCATCTTTCAGATGAGACATTAAACAAAGGCTTTGCTTGCCCCCTTGTGTTGGCATGGAAGCTTCTTTATTCCTTTGATGGAATGTAGGAATCAGGAGCATTTGTTGCACATCTCTCGTGGTCTTTGAACTGAGTGGATTCTTAAGCCACTTCAGAGGGCAGTTGATGTTGGTATGGAGTCACATGTAGAGTAAGGACAGTCAGATTTCCCTCCCTAAGAGGCCACTGGTGAATGAGACGTGTTTGTAAAACAAAAATTGATAGTTGCCCATGGTCACCATGAGACTGGTTTTATAGATTTCAGATTTATTCATTGAATTTAAATTCCACCAGCTGCCATGGTGGGATTTGAACCCATGGCATCAGAGAAATACTCCAGGCCTCTGGATTCCTACTCCACTGACATTAGTTACCACTAAACCACCCCAAACACTACCTGTAAAAGATTGAAAAAATGTCTTACCTCAACTGCCAATGACCTCTGCTGTAAGGCACTGTTCTCCACTTTGAACATGTGCTTCTGTTTATTGCTTTTCTGGTGACAACATCAGGAATAGATCAGGCAGCCACTCAAACATTTAACAAACCAGTCAGCATTTCAATAAAAACAAAATACTGCAGAATATTTTACTAGGTGATGGCCTACTGGTATTATTGCTGGACTGTTAATCCAGAGACCCAGATACCGTTCTGGGCACTTGGGTTCGAATCCAGCCATGGCAGATGGTGGAATTTGAATTCAATAAATATCTGGAATTAAGAATCTAATGATGACCGTGAATCCAGCATCAAATGTCAGAAAAACCCATCTGGTTCACTAATGTCCTTTAGGGAATGAAACTGCCATCCTTACCATCCTTACATGTGACTCCAGACCAACACCAATGTGGTTGACTCTTAACTGGCCTCTGGGCAATTAGGGATGGGCAATAAATGCTGCCTGGCCAATGACGGCCCTATTCCCGTGAATGAATAAAGAAAAAAAGTCTGAAATAAAGACAGAACATGCTGGAGAAACACAGTAAATCTGGTACCATCTGTGGAGAGAGAAACAGTTAACATTTCATGTCTGGTACTACTCTTCTTTGGAACTCAGAACATTCATGTCACAGTTCAAAAGAACAGTCTCATTGCATGCAAAATGTTAACTCTGTTTCTCTCTCCACAGAGGCGGTCAGACCTGCTGAGTTTCTCCAGCACTTTCTGTTTTAATTTCAGTCGTTATCCCAACCAGCTAAACCATACAACCAAGTAATCAGTGAGGCAAATTTGTCTGTACCATCCTGCAAGTTAAATGATGCAACAACAATAGAGCTGGAAAAGGACACATTATGTCGTAGCTGTACACACGTTGTGCCTGTTTCAGCTCAACAGGCCAGGCTACAGTCAATCTCTGGCTCATTCCTTAGGCTTGACCAATCAGAGTCAAATAGCCTGGTTCAAATTTAAATAAGGTTTGACAGTTAACTGTCATTAGTCTTCTCACCAGTGTGTTCTTCAAATAATGCCTGTCTCTCCTTGTGCAATATAAATTGTTGTTCTCCTTTCCACTGCTGGTGATACAAATATCCTGATGATTACAAAACCAAAAGTCTCAATAAAACCTATTTTCTTTTCAGCAATATTCAAATTCTGTGCTACCAACTGCCCATTAGAATTGAATTGTTGGCCAATCATAACCAGCAATCTCTATGATTTGCTCCATGGTACAGAACAGGAATATTGCTGAAAAGAGAGAGGTGTTGTTGAAGCTTTTCATTTTGCCATCATCAGGATATATGCAAAAACCAAATTTCAAACAGTCACAACAATTTATACTGGAGGAGAAAAGAGAGCTTTAGTAAATCTGCCTTTTTAACACTAATTCTCACTGTCAGCCATGGTTCAGTCGGCCTTGTCACTGAGGCTTTAGGTCAGATGTTCAAATCCCACTCCAGAGACATGAGCACAAAGCCTTGGCTGATTCTCCAAATGTCAGCACTGAGGGAGTGCTGCACTGTCTGAGATGAGACCTTAGAGGAGACCTCAAACAAAGGCATTACTTGCCTCTTTGTGTGGGCACTGGAATTTCTTTTATCCATCAATGGGCATCACTAACATTTGTTGCTCATCTTGAATGGCCCTTGACCTGAAAATGGCTTGCGAGGCCACTTCAGAGGGTAGTTAAGGATCATCCACATTGATGTGCGTCTGGAGTCATTTGTAGGGTAAGGATAGTCATATTTCCCTCCATGAACAGGCCATTATTGAATCAGATGGGCTTTTACAGTAAAGACATGGGTTTCATGGTTACCATTACTGAGTCTAGCATTATAGATTTCAGATTTATTCGTTGAATTTAAATTCCACCAGCTGCCATTTGAACCCATGGTCCTACAGCAATACTCCAAGCCTCTGGATTTCCCTCCCCCAACAATGACATTAATTGAAATTAAACCATCTCCAAACACTATCTGTAAAAGATTGGAAAAATGTTTTACCTCAACTGCCAATGACCTCTGCTGTTCTCCACTTCGAACATGTGCTTCTGTTTATTGTTTTTATGGTGACAACATGAGGAATAGATCAGGCAGCCACTCAAACATTTAATGAACCATTCAGCATTCTAATAAAAACAAAATACTGCAAAGGCTGAAAATTTGAAATAAAAACAGAAAATGCTGGAGAAACTCAGTGAGTCCGGCAGTATCTGTGGAGAGAGAAACACAGTTAACATTTCAAGTCTGATGTGACTGTTGTTTGGAACTCAAACACTCATTATACAGTGCCAAAGAAGAAACGTACTGCACGCGAACTGTTAACTATGTTTCTCTCTACATGGAGGCTGCCAGACCTGCTGAGTTTCTCCAGCATTTTCTGTTTTCATTTCAGTCATTATCCTAACCAGCTAAACCATGCAGTCAAGTAATCAGTGAGGCAAATTTGTCTGTACCATCCTGCAAGTTAAATGATGCAACAACAATAGAGTTGGAAAAGGACACATTATGTCGTAGCTGTACACACATTGTGCCTCTTTCAGCTCAACAGGCCAGGCTGTAACCATTATCTGGCTTGACCCATCAGAATCAACCTGCTGGTTCAAATTTAAATATGCTTGGCTGTTAACTGTCAGTCTTCACCTAACCAGTGTATTTTTCATGGCAATACCTCTACCAATCAGAATCCACTTGTCAACCAATCAGCACTCTCTTCACAATTGCGATAAGATGTTGTTCCTGTTTGCTATTGATGGTGATGAAAATGCGCTGATGATTGCAAGACCAATAACTAGATGAAACTTGTTTTATTCAGCTGTAGTCATGTTCTGTGCTACAACTGACCATTAGAATTGAGTTGTTGACTCATCGTAACCAGCAATCTCTATGATTTGCTCTATGGGAGAGAATATTAATATTGCTGAAAAGAGAGAGATGTTGTTGGAGCTTTTCATCATGCAGATATCAGGACATATGCAAGAATGCAAAATTTCAAACAGCCACAACAATTTATACTGGAGGTGAAAAGGCTGCATTAGCAAATCTTCCTGTTTTACACGCATTTTCACTCTCAGTCATGACTCAGTGAGTCTTATCACTGAGACTGTTGGTGAGATATTCAAGTTCCACTCCAGGGACATGAGCACAAATCCTAGTCTAGCCGTCCCAAAGCCAGCACTGAGGGAGTGATGTGCTGACAGAAGAGCCATCATTCAGATGAGACTTTAAACAAAGGCATTACTTGCCTCTGTTTCTTGGCACTGGAATTTCTTTTATCCTTTGACAGGATGTGGGCATCGCCAGCATTTGTTGCCCATCTCTGACAGTTGCTTATTGGGCCACTCCAGAGGGTAGTTCAGAGTTAACCATACTGCTGCGGGTTTGGAGACATGTGCAAGCCAGGCCAGGATAAGGAAGGCAGATTTCCCTTCCTAACAGGGCAATGGTAAACCACATGTGTTTTTACAACAAAAAGAAATGGTAATTTCTGGTCACTGTTACTGACCATAGCTTTATATATTCCAGACGTCTTTGTTGAATTTAAATTCCACCAGTTCCCATGGTGGGATTTGAACCCCAGGTCTGGGAGGACTAGTCCAGACCTCCAGATTCCTGCTCCAGTGACACAACCAATACACCATCAATTGAAGAGCAGAGAAACTGCTTACCTCAAACGCCAATGACCTCTGCTGTAAAGCATTATTCTCCGCTTCGAAAGCGTGCTTCTGTTTATTGCTTTTCTGGTACTAACATTAGGAATAGATCCAGCAGCCAATTAAACATTTAACAAGCGAGTCAGTATTGCAAGAAAAATAAAATATTGCAGATGCTGGAAATCTGAAATAATAACAGAAAGTGCTGGAGAAACTCAGCAGGGTGGGCAGTCTCTGAGGAGGGAGAAACAGGGTTATGTTTTGAGTCTGATATGATTTATCATATGAGTCAAACATTCCTGACACAGTTCTGAAGAGCAGACGTACTGGACTTGAAATGCTAACTTTGTTTCTCCAAACACAGAGGCTGCTAGACCTAATGGGTTTCTCCAGAAATTTTTGTTTTCATTTTAATTATTATTCCATCCAGCTAAATCATGTAACCACTCAGTCTAGTAGGCAAATTATCTCTACTATCCTGCATGTTAAAGGAAGCAATAATAATACATACTGTTGAAAAAAGACACATTATGTTGTAGCTGTACACACATTGTGCCTGTTTCAACTCCACAGATCAGGCTACAGCCATTCACTGGTTCTTTTCTCAGGGCAGTTGCTTGACAATCAGAGTCAACCTGCTGGTTCAAGTTTAAACAAAACTTGACAGTTAACTATCAGTCTTCACCAAACCAGTGTATTCATCATTGCAATGCTTGTCAACCGTTCAGTACTCTCCTTTCTTTTGGTGGTGATGTGAACGTGCTGAGGAACGCAAGACCAAAATCTTTGAAAAAAAAAGTCTTTTTCCCAGTGGTATTCAAGTTTTGTGCTACAACTGACCTAAATTAGAATTGAGTTGTTGACTGATCATAACCAGCAAATTGTAACAGTTGATTAGTGGTAGAGAACAGAAATATTGCTGAAGAGAGACACATTGGGTGGTTCAGTAGTTAGGAAGGCTGCCTCACAGCATCAGGGACTCAGGTCCAATTCTATCCTTGGATAACTGTCTGTGTGGAGTTTGCACATTCTCCCTGTGTCTGCGTGGGTTTCCTCTGGGTGCTTCAGCTTCCACCCAGAGTCCAAAGATGCACAAGTTAGGTGGATTGGCCATGATAAATTCCCCTATTGTCCAGCAATTTGCAGGCAAGGTAGATTAGCCATGGGAAATACAGGGATAGGGTAGGGGGGAGAGTCTATGTGGACTCGATGGGCCAAATGGCCTGCTTCAACACTGTAGGGACTCCATGATTCTATGTTGTTGAAGCTTTTCATCATGCAGTCATCAGGACATATGCAAGAATGCCAAATTTCAAACAGTCACAACAATTTATATCTGAGGGGAAAAGGGTGCATTGGCAAATTAGTCTCTTTTACACTCATTTTCACTGTTAGCCATGGCTCAGTAGGTCTTCCTACTGATGCTGTTGGTCAGCTGTTCAAGTCCCACTCCAGAGACATGAGCTCAATGCCTAGTCCAGCTCTCCCAAAGCCAGCAGTGAGGGTGTGCTGCACTGTCAGAGGTGCCGTCATTCAGATGAGATCTTTAAATAATGCATTCGCTTGTCACTATGTGTGGGCACTGGTGTTTTTTAATCCTTCAATAGGATGTGGGCATCACCTGCATTGCCCATCTCTAATGATTCCTTGAACTGAAATTGGCTTGCTGGGGCACTTTAAGAGTCAACCATATTGATGTGTTTTTGGAGTCACATATAGGGTAAAGATTGTCAGATTTTCCTGCCTAACAGGCCATTAGTGAATGAGATGGGGGGTTACAACAAAAAAATACTTTCATGGTTACCATTACTGAGTCTAGCATTATAGATTTCTGATATTTTTCATAGAATTTAATTTCCACCAGCTGCCATTTGAACCCATGGTCCCACAGCAATACTCCAAGCCTCTAGATTACTACTCCACTGATATTAATTGACATTAAACCATCTCCAAACACTATCTGTAAAAGATTAGAAAAATGTCTTACCTCAACTGCCAATGACCTCTGCTGTAAGGCACTGTTCTCCACTTCGAACATGTGCTTCTGTTTATTGCTTTTCTGGTGACAACATCAGGAATAGATTAGGCAGCCACTCAAACATTTAACAAACCAGTCAGCATTCTAATAAGAAAATACTGCAGGTGCTGGAAATCTGAAATGAAAACAGAAAATGCTGGAGAAACTCAGCAGGTCTGGCAGTATCTGTGGAGCGTGAAACAGAGTTAACATTTCTAGCCTGATACATCTGTTAATTTGAACTCAGACACTCATGGTACAGTTTCAAATCAGAGACATATTGCACTTGAAACATTAACTCTGTTTCTCTCTCCACAGAGGCTGCCAGACCTGCTGAGTTTCTCCAGCTTTTTCTGTTTTTAATTTCGGTTGTTATTCTAATCAGTTAAACCATGCAACCAATGAATCAGTGAGGCTAATTTATCTGTACCATCCTGTAAGTTAGATGATGCAAGAACAATAGAGCTGGAAAAGGACACATTATGTCGTAGCTGTACACACGTTGTGTCTGTTTCAACTCAACACATTGGGCTACAGCCATTCTCAGGTTCATTCTTCAGGGCAGTGCGTTGACCAATCAGAATCAACCTGCTGGTTCAAATTTAAAAGTTGGCAGTTAACTGTCAATCTTCACCTAACTGGTATATTTTTCATGGCAATGCCTCTACCAATCAGAATCCACTTGTCAACCAATCAGCACTCTCTTCTATACTGTTAAATTTTTGTCCCCTTTCTATTGGTTTGGATGTGAATGTTCTGATGAGTCTCAGATGAAAAGCCTCGATAAAGCCTGATTTCCTTTCAGCAGTATTCACATCCTGTGGGAGCTAAAATAACTCTACAGAGGCTGGTATCCCATCTCTAAGTCACCCTTTATTTACGTGTGCATTGTACTTGACACTCGTCCGGTTTTCTCAGAGTCAGGTCTAAGAGTGAACAGAACCTCTGACACTCCTGTCTGTCAGCCAGGGCTCCCTGATTGGACCTTATTAACAGCCCCAATCAGGGAACTCATATTCTATGAGGTCAACCTGGCTGACCTCTTTACAATCACCACAGTAGCAATTGAACATTCTAATACAATTCTTGTCTAATTATTGCCAGCAATCTCAATCAGTTGCTTAGTAGTACAGAACAGGAATATTTCTGAGAAAAGAGATATGTTGTTGAAGGTTTTCATCTTGCAGTCATCAGGAAATATGCAAGAATGACCAATTTCAACACTCACAACAATTTATACTGGAGGAGAAAAGGGTGCTCATTGGTTGGCAAATTTGTTCTGATTGGGCGAGGCGTTGACTGGGAGTCACATAAATACAAGTTGTTGGCGTTAATTGTCGATTATTCCAGATGGCGGGGTTCCTTGACTCCTCTATCAGGAGACAGTGTTGTCAAGGTAATGTTAATGGATTAGTTTTCCAGAGGGTCAGGCTATTGATTGGGGACGACAGGTTCAAATCTGGCATCTGGGAGAGTTTAAATTTAATTAATTAATCAAGAATTGAAATAATGTCTCAGTATTTTCTATTAAACTACCATTAATTTTTGTATTTTTTTTAAAGGAAACTGTCTGATGCCCTTTGGGGACGGAGATCTGCTGGCCTTACTGGATCTGGCCTCCATGTGACTCCTGAACCCCAGGAAGGCGGTTGGCTCTTAACTGCCCTAAGAAATAGCCCTAGCAAACCATTCTGTTCAAGAGGAATTAAGGATGGGCAACAAAATGCCAATGTTGCCCACGTCTCTTAAAAGAAGGAAGGAAAAGAAAAGGCAGGCCCAGATTGATGACTGGGCCTCACCTTGAACGTATTTCATTGGCTGTTTGAGAGCACTTTGGGATGTCCTGAAGTTGATGGTGCTCCATAAATGTGTTTGTCTTTCATTACATACCTCGAGGAATAATGAGTTGTAAAGCGTGCCTCTTCTGTCACTCTCCAGCTTGTTCAGTAAGTTCTCAAGCTTCTTGTGTTTACCCTAATGACGACAGCGAATCAGATACCAAGTTAATCATCTGCCAGCCATCTCCTTGCTTCACGTTTGTTCCTCTATCTCTAATTTTTCTCTCCGATTTTCTCCCTTACAGTGTTAGGGTCTGTCTAAGGCCACAGTTTTCATTCAGGGGGATCGAGTTGTAGACAAGTGTCTCGCGTGGCCAAGTGTGGGACATTACTGTAGCACCGTTTCCCAACCCCATTTCCGTGGAGCAGTCTCCATGCCACTGACTCAATGGTCAGCAAAGCCTGGCGCTACACAATGCAATTCATTCAACCACTGAATCACCATGGTTACTATAGCCCACAGTGTATATATAACTCATTAACATTATGAGCAAATCTCTCTGCTATGTCTTTCGGTTTTTATCGTTCATTTACCATTTGGGGAAGGGATGGCCTAGTAGTATAAAAACTGAAAGAACTGCCAATGCTGTAAATCAGGAACAAAAACAGAAGTTGCTGGAAAAGCTCAGCAGGTCTGGCAGCATCCGTGAAGGAAAAAACAGAGTTAATGTTTTGGGTCCGGCGACCCTTCCACAGAACTACCCCAGTTCTGAGGAAGGGTCACCGGACCCGAAACGTTAACTCTGTTTCTTCCTTCACACATGCTGCCAGACCTGCTGAGCTTTTCCAGCAACTTTGTTTTTGGGCCAGTAGTATAGTTGTTGGACTATTAATCTAGAGACTCAGATAACGTTCTGGGATCCTGGGTTTGAATCCTACCATGGTGGAATTTGAATTCAATAAGAAGTTGGAATTAAAACTCTAATGATGACCATGAATCATTTATTGGGAAAAAAAGACATTTGATTTACTAATGTTCTTTACAGAAGTAAACTGCCATCCTTAACTGGTCTGGCCTCCAAGTGACTCCAGACCACAGCAATATGGTTGACTTCATATTTATTTTTCAGTAATGCAGAGTCACCAGGAGTTTCTAAACATGCGAGAAATTTGTTAATAGAGTTCTGTTCAATGCTTTGAAAGGTCTGCTCCATGCTTCAGCTCACATTCCAGAAGCTTCTGTGCAACTGAAACTGTACTTAATCAATCAAGCACAGTGAGCATAGATCAGTTACCAGACTCATATCATTCAAACACAGACCAATTGAGCAACTGAACACAATTGCCCTATTGGCTAATGTCACTGAACAAGCAATCCAGTATCCCAGGCTAATGTTCTGGGGCCATGGCAGTCAATAATTAAAAGGGAACAAAAGTTTGGAATTAAAAATCTAGCCTCATGACGATCATCTAGTTCACTGATGACCCTTTATGGAAGGAAATCTGGCGTATGTGTGACTTCAGTCCCATATCACTGTGGTTGACTCTTAGGGATGGGCAATAAATAATGGTCTGGCCAGCAACACCCATATCCCATGAACAAATGGAAAAATAAAATTCATCTACTTTCCAGCACGGACTGATTTATACGTTCATTGTGTACTTCTCTTTGTAAAGAGAAAACCGTTTGATATAAAAACAGTCTGCCTCTTTGATCAATTGTCTGTCATTTCCCAACTCCTCCTATAACCAACCCTCTGCCCCTGTCCCTCCACACCCTTCTTACTTGTCTGCTGAACTGACTCCTCACCACCTTGTCCATGGTCTTACCTTCAGGACAGGTATCAGGAAGACTACTCCTTACAGAATAGGCACGGAGGCCTAAGTTCCCTCAAGCGCCCAGCTTCAGTAAAATTCAGCTCACTCCAAATTTTACTACCCGCGTCCTAACTCGCACCAAGTCTCATTCACCCATCACTCCCCCTGTGCTCACTGACCTACTCCGAGTCAGACACACCTCGACTTTAAAATTCTGGCCTTTGTTTTCATATCCCTCCTTAGCTTCGAACTTCCCTTTATCTGCTAAAACCTGAAGCTCCTCAAATGAGCCACATTCTGTTCAATCTTTCCTGATATTTATAACCTCTATGCTTTGGCATCGTCCTTGCGAGCACCTTTTTCAATGCCTTTTTTGTACATTTTCTTCAACATTGAGACAATAATCTTTGCACAATACTCCCAAGTGTGGTCTAAGCAAGATTCGATTGTAAGATTAAAATAACTTCTTTCTGTTTGCAAGTTCCAGTCTCTGCCTTCATATTCCTAATTTGTCAGTCTGAGTACACACACAAGCGTCTGATATGGATCAATTTCAGCTCTTACCTCTAGTTTTCGAGTGTATTCCCTCAAGGAGTTAGCAGCGTTTTTATTTTTCTCAACCCTCTCCAGAAAAATCGCACACTGCAACTCACAAAAGCAAGAACGTAAGGACAGAATGATAGGGCACAGGACTATTCCACCCACTGAGCCTGCACCTCCATTCGGTACAATCATTGTTGACCTTTGGTTGTAACTTCACTTCCTCACCCACTCCCAAGAGATCAAAAATCTGTCTATCTCCACCTTAAGCATACTCAGCTACCCTCTAAGGCGCAGAATTCCAAAGATTCACAACGCTTTGAGTGAAGAAATTCCTTTTCATCTCAGTGGTAGATGAAAACTGCACTCCCATGTTTTATTTTCCCCAGGCTGGCAGAAACATCGCCTCAGGATCTAACCCATCAATTCCACATGCCCCCACCCCCCACCAATCTTCAGAAATCTGTGTCTCAATAAGATCGCATATCATTCATCTGAACTCCAGAGAACATAGACGCAGTTAACTCAGCATCTTATCATAGAATGATCGTCTCGTTCCCAGGGACTGGTCAAGTAGTGACCGCTTGCTGTGATCGTCCTCAATGCCAGTTGTATATTTCCCAAAACTGAACATCGTATACCAGTTGTAGCCTCACCAAAGTCCTGTGTGGTTCTTATCAAGCTGATTTTATTCTTGCAATTCCAATCCCCTTTGCAATAAGGGCCAACATGCTATTTGCCTTCCAAACTGCTCTCTGAACTTTCATATCGACTCACTGGAGGTTTTTGGCTGCCCAGCTTCTGGCTTTGAATGGTCACATCTAATCAGATTGATTGAAGTCGTAGAACACTGGATTAGAGCCACTCAGTTTGGCTAAATGTATGTCTGGAGACATCATCACATGACTCCTCCCAACAGCACTGTGGCACAGTGGTTAGCACTACTGCCTCACAGCGCTAGGGACCCAGGTTCAATTCCACCCTCAGGTGACTGTCTGTGCGGAGACTGCGCATTCTCCCTGTATCTGCGTGGGTTTCCTCTGGATGCTCCAGCTTCCTCCTGCAGTCCAAAGATGTGCAGGTTAGGGTGGATTGGCGGTGCTAAATTGCCCGTAGTGTTCAGGAATGTGTAGATTAGGTGAGTTTATATGGGGATGGGTCTGGGTCAGATGCTCTGAGGTTCGGCGTGGACTTGTTGGGCCAAAGGGCCTGTTTCCACACTGTAGGGATTCTATGAAATTGCCCCACACTCACACCAAATGTGGCCAATCTCATAACATTCCCTGTTCCCACACCAATCAGTAAGTGAATGAGCTAATCCTCTATTTAGTGGATGATTTTAATTTTGTCCTTCAGTCAAACTACCTTTTGTTTTCCATCTTAGATGTTCATATTACTGATTTACACCAAGTATGTACAAATGTATTCATAACCATACATTTTAAAGGCCCTCGAGTAAGTGCTTACTCACAGATGTGTCCTGAATATTAATCTTTGATTCCACTTGGCAACAGGTCAAGCCTGGGAGCTTGGCCTGAGAGAGAGTGAACCAAATCATCTCATAACTACTAATAGCTGAAATCCTAGCGAAGTCTTATTTGTTTATTTGTGACTCCAGCGTCCTTTCAATAATCCCCAGGCAGTCATTGGAAAATCTCCCTCAGTGCTCACCAGATGGAGATCCTCAGCTTTTCCAAAGACCATCAAAAAAAAATTTCTAAATATTTCATCGTCCTGAGGGCCTTTAAAGCCTGGGCCTCCCTCAGATCGAGGCCTTCAGAGTCTCAGTCTCCCCACGAATGAGACTTTTACAGGGACAGGCCTCTCTGTGATTGACACTTTTACAGGGACAGG